TTTTTTTGCTTTTCAAGACAGGGTTTCTCTGTGTAGCCCTGGCTGTCCTGGAACTGGCTTTGTAGACCAGGCTGGCCTCGAACTCAGAGATCCACCTGCCTCTCCTTCCCAAGTACTGGGATTAAAGGCATGCACTGCCACCACCCAGCAAAACTCACATTTTCTATACATAAAAAAATATTCAGAGCCTGGTGGTGGTGGCACATACCTTTAGTCCCAGCACTGGGGAGACAGAGGCAGACGGATCTCTGTGAGTTCGAGGCCAGCCTGTACTACAGAGTGAGATCCAGGACAGGCACTAAAACTACACAGAGAAACCCTGTCTTGAAAAAAAAAAAAATCAGCCAGGTTTGCTGGCACATGCCTTTCATCCCAGCACTTGAGAGGCAAAGGCAGGTAGAGGTCTGTGAGTTTGAGGCCAGTCTGGTCTACAGAGTGAGTTACAGGACAGGCACCAAAACTACACAGAGAAACTCTCTCAAAAACAAAGAAACAAACAAAAATATTCAAAATATATAATGCATGCCCTTCCCCACCCCCCCAACAACTCCAACAAAGGATAGTCCAATGGACTAGGTCAGCTCTAAGCCACTCCTGGCTCTGATACTCTGCATGATTTATTTTAGAGCTTGTCTAAAGCTTTGGGCCTCTGCCATGCCCGGGTCACTCACTATCTGGGAAGTTAGTATTGACCGAGTTCCTCCAGGTCCCCTACTGCCCTCTCTCCTAACATTAACTCTGTTTCCCTCCATTATCTTTCTCAGCTCCTTTCTTATTTGCCCTTTGATGACCTGAAAATCTCCGGGAAACCACTGCTGTGTACTGACTGAAGTCTGGACAGGGGGGGTTCCACCCCTTCACACCTGGAAGCTGGAGCCACAGCTGCTGCAGCTGGGGCCCAAGCAACGCGCCCCTCTGCTGAGGCCGGAGCCTGGGGCTAGTGTAGTCCTAAAATGAGAGGAAGGATTGCAAATGAGGAAGAACCACTCTGGAAGGAAGAGCTTCCCAGGTGGTCAGGATGGAGAGTCTTGAAAGACCCTCCAACCCCAGGTATCCCGAGTGAAGCCTGCTTGCTCCTGTGGAAGATGGCACGGGCTGAAGTTGCCAACCATCAGGAAAAGAGGGATGAGCAAACGGGACCCTGAGGGGTCTTGCCTAAAACTCCTTTGTGAGTGAGCTTGGGACTGGGGGTTGAACCTGGCGCCCCCAGTTGGTAGGCAAGCTTACTATGATGTAGCTCTATCCCCAAGCCTCTCTTTACTTTGAATTTTGTGGCGGGTCTCACGGAGTGGCCTGAGATGGCCTGGAACTCACTCTATAGCAAGCAGTCCTTGTACTAGGATCCTTCTGTCTCAGGCTCCCGAGTAGCTGGGAATATAGGTTTGGTGGCAGTGAGCCTGGGAAAACACACTTATCTAAAGACTTCATGCATAAGGCTCCCAACTGAGCCTTTGGGAAGGGATAATTCTGTAACATGACACTAAGAGAGAGACTTTAAAAAAAAAAATGTTTCCCTTCTGCAGTTGTATTCGTAAGCAGACCTGACCTGTGATCCTGAGGTCAAGGCAGAGAGAAGGAAACTGGCCCCTGAGCAAGGGGAGTTAGAGCCTTGCTGGGTAGGGTAGGAGAACTGAGAGTTCTCAGGCCTGTTTCCTGCCAGCACAGACACATCTCCTTCATGTGGCACTGCCCAGGAATGGAGAGTGAGAAGGAGGAATATGGAGCCGTGTCCCTGAAGAAGCCTGGGGACGTAGAGGACAAGAGAACTACAGCTCTACTTTTCTTCCCTTAGATGCCACACTGAGGGCGCTGCTAGGTCAGGCCCATGACTGCCATGAAGAACAAGAGGAAATAAGCCAACATAGTTTCTGATGCTTAGCGCTTATAAACTCTAAGCAAGTGCATCCTGTGAGTGAGACAGCTATTAAAATTATAAACAACTAAATACATGGTCATAAGTTGCAACGGGTGCTGGGAAGGAAAAACTAGCAAGAACGGGTCAATGGAGTGGGTGGAGAATCATTCTCTGGGTGGCGGAGGGGAAGCTTCAGATGGGTGTCACAGAAATGGGGACATAGAGCCTGGTGGTGGTCACACACCTTTAATCCCAACACTCGGGGCAACAGAGGCACACAGAGTGCTGTGAGTTCGAGGCCAGCCTGGTCTACAAAGCAAGTTCCAGGACAGCCAAGGCTACACAGAGAAACCCTGTCTTGGAAAACCAAGAAAGAAACGAAAAATTGTGACGTAGGATGAGCAAAGAAAGGGACAGAGCGTTAGGGGAAGGCCTCCCATGAATTTAAGGAACTGCAAACAGGTCAGCAGGGTTCTACAGGGTTGAGCGAGTGAGTGGGCGAGGAGGACGCACGTGGTCATGCAGAGTCTCGAAGGTCACGGTCACAGGTACTAGGGGGATGATCAGTGACCCAGCCGAAAAAGGAAGGAGACATTGTTGGAAAACTGACCTAAGGGGAAGTGCTTGGGTCTCAGATACTCAAAACTCCCGTCCACTAGATGGCAATAGTCGTCCCTGTGTCTGGGACGGCTGGGTTGATGGCTATGACCAAGCAGGCTGATGAATTGGGAGGGAGTCCCAACCGGGGTTCCCCGCGAGAACGGGGCTGGTCTGCCTCCGGGCCGCGCGGGGGCGCTGTGGCCGGGCGGCCGCGGAGGGGCTCCGGCGGGTGGGAGGGAGGCGGGAAGAGCGCGGCACTTCCGCTGGCTGCCTGGCTGGCTGGCTGGCTGCTGGAGCGGGCGGCGAAGGGAGCGGAGGGAGCGTGCGGCCCGGGGACTCGCATTCCCCGGTCCCCCCTCCGCCCCACGCGGCTGGGCCATGGACGCCAGGTGGGGGGGCTCGGGCAGCCATGGCCCACGTGACCCAGACCCCGGGGCCACGTGACCGAGACCCCGGGGCTCGGGAGGCGGGGTGGGGTCCTCCGGCTGCAGACCCGCGGAGCGAGCGCTGTCAGGAGCCGGTGGGGATGGGGGCGCGGCGTGTGGCCTGTGTTCCTGGGGGGGCTTCGGGGACGTCTCCCGGAGGGGGGATGTGGGACTGTGGCGCTCGGGAGCGGGAAGCGGGGTGCAGGGGGGGCCGCCCGTGGCCTGAGCTGCCCGCGCGCTGGAGGGAACAGAGGCGACCTATGTGGCTGGGCAGGCGGGGCCGCCCCCGGGAAGGGAGGAGGCTCTGCCTGGCCTGCGTCGGACCCCCCGAGAGAGAGAGAGAGGGAGAGAGAAGCTCTTTGTCCGTCCCGCTGGACTGCAGCGGAGGGGGCGGGGACGCCACTGGGCACTTCCCTGGTACAGTCCCCTCCGGAGGGCAGAGGGGCTGAAGAGCCGCAACCCTAATCGCTGCTTTGGCTGTCCCCGCAGATGGTGGGCAGTGGTGGTGCTCGCCGCGCTCCCTTCTTTGGGAGCAGGTGGGGAGTCACCCGAAGCCCCTCCGCAGTCCTGGACACAGCTGTGGTTCTTCCGCTTTTTCGTGAATGCTGCCGGCTATGCCAGCTTTATGGTACCTGGCTACCTCCTGGTGCAATATTTAAGACGGAAGAACTACCTGGAGACAGGTAATGTGGTCCAAGGGTGGGGAAATGAGCTAGGTACGGTTGTAGGTGTTGGCGTACATTCAAAGTGAAACGTGGCTTGGGAAGGGAAGGCAGCCAGGTCACAGAGGGGGCTGGCTGGCTGCTCTGGAGAAGGTGTGGAACTTGACTTTGTGTGTCTTCTTCAGGCAGGGGTCTCTGCTTTCCCCTGGTGAAAGCCTGTGTGTTTGGCAATGAGCCCAAGGCCTCTGATGAGATTCCACTGGCTCCCCGGACAGAAGCAGCGGATACTACGCCCTCTTGGCAGATCCTGAAGCTGGTCTTCTGTGCCTCGGGGCTCCAGGTAAGTAGACAGGCTCCCCTTCTCTTCCCAGGTTGGGTCCAGGCAGCCAGGGACTTAATGAAACCAGAGTTGTCCTGCCCACACCAAAGGTTTATTGATTTAGGTATGGTTTATGTCCCTGCAGGATGCAGCCCCACCCTGAAAGTGTTTTCTTCCTCTTAGCCTTTCTTCCTCCAATACCTGTCCCGACAGTTCACCATACACATATGTAATGATGTCTAGTGTGGAAGACAGCCTGTCTTCTCCGTATGTTCTTTCTTTCTGTGCTCTTTTTCTGCTCTGTGTACTGTGTCTAATCTATAACCTCACTGACAACATTTTGGGGAAAGCCAGGCATGATAGCACAAGCTGTCATCCCAGCTATTCTGAAGCTGAAGTAGAAGGATGCAAAGTTCAAGGCCTGCGCCTGGTGGCAGTGGTGGCGCACGCTTTTAATTCCAGCACTCTGGAGACAGAGGCAGGAGGATCTCTGTGAGTTGGAGGCCAGCCTAGTCTACTGAGCAAGTCCCAGGACATCCAAAGCCACACAGAGAAACCCTGTCTTGAAGTCCAAAAAAAGAAAAGAAAAGAGAGAGAGAGAAGCCTGAAGGCCTACCCGAGCAATTTAGTGTGAGATTCTGTCAAAACATAAATAAACCAAGCGTTGTGGTGCATTTGTCCCAGCATGTGGGAGGCAGAGCAGGTGGATCTCTGAGTTGGAGACCAGCCTGGTCTACATGTCCAGTTCCAGGATAACTAGGGCTGCATAGTGAAACCCTGTCTCAAAATAATAAATAAATAAAATAATAAATTAATAAATAAATAAATAAAATAAATAATAATGTGAGAGGGGCTCTGGGCATATAACCCAATAGAGCACTTGCCTACCATGCACAAACCTCAGTCAGTCCCAGGACCACACACACAAGTTTAGGCAGCCATTCAGCCTTTGTGAGTGGGATGCTCTCACAGGCCATAGTTTGGAGTGGGTTCCAGCCCACCTTATATATATTAGAACTGAAAGTGGCCAGCCCTCTCTGAGGCTTCCAAACATTCCAGTTTATTTTGAATTGGTTCAAAATCAATAAAACTTTATATGGTATGTGGAGCCAGCTCTAATGGACTTGTGCCATGAGATGGACAGGGTCTGGTCCTAAAGCAGGTGGTGAATTAAAGCTTAGGAAAGAGGAACTAAAAAGGATGGTGTCAGTTACATCATATGCGAGCATCCGGAGGAAGAGAGAAAACAGACTTCTACCTACTCCTTTTCTTGTTCACTGTTGCCATTCTCCCCTCCACCCCCCAGGTGTCCTATCTGACTTGGGGTGTACTGCAGGAGAGAGTGATGACCGGCAGCTATGGGGCCACAGCCACATCACCAGGCGAGCATTTCACAGACTCACAGTTCCTGGTGCTAATGAACCGTGTGCTGGCCCTGATTGTGGCAGGTCTCTACTGTGTCCTACGCAAGCAGCCCCGTCATGGTGCCCCCATGTACCGGTACTCTTTCGCCAGTCTGTCAAATGTGCTTAGCAGCTGGTGCCAATATGAAGCGCTTAAGTTCGTCAGCTTCCCTACCCAGGTGCTGGCCAAGGCCTCCAAGGTGATTCCTGTCATGATGATGGGAAAGCTGGTGTCCAGGCGAAGCTATGAACACTGGGAATACCTGACTGCAGGCCTCATCTCCATTGGGGTTAGCATGTTTCTGCTGTCCAGCGGACCAGAACCCCGAAGCTCTCCAGCCACCACGCTCTCAGGCTTGGTCCTCCTGGCAGGCTACATCGCTTTTGACAGCTTCACCTCAAACTGGCAGGATGCCCTGTTTGCCTATAAGATGTCCTCAGTGCAGATGATGTTTGGGGTCAATCTGTTCTCCTGTCTCTTCACAGTAGGCTCACTACTGGAGCAGGGCGCCCTACTGGAGGGAGCCCGCTTCATGGGGCGGCACAGTGAGTTTGCACTCCATGCCCTCCTCCTCTCCATCTGCTCTGCCTTCGGTCAGCTCTTCATCTTCTACACCATTGGACAGTTCGGAGCTGCTGTCTTCACCATCATCATGACTCTCCGCCAGGCTATCGCCATCCTTCTCTCCTGCCTCCTCTATGGCCACACTGTCACTGTGGTGGGGGGGCTGGGAGTGGCTGTGGTCTTCACTGCCCTCCTCCTTAGAGTCTATGCCCGGGGCCGTAAGCAGCGGGGAAAGAAGGCTGTGCCAACTGAGCCCCCAGTGCAGAAGGTATGAAGAGTGAAGGACCCTCACTCTTTCTGTAGCTTCTCAGAGGCGCTGGCTCAAGGGCAGAATATCTTCTCAGTATCCAGCAGAGGATTGGAACCCTGGAGGCAGCCTCTTGCCTTGCCTTAAGAGCCCCACCTACTTTCTTGGAAGTGGCAGTTGTGGGTCTGAGTTACAGTGGTAATCCAGATGGAGCTCCTCCCCCGACCGGGTCTTGGTTTTAGCTGGCAGACCTGTGAACCAGCACCAGGCCTTTGCTTTTTTCCCTTTAACACCAAGACTGCCAGACACTGGGCAAGGGCAGCACAGAAGTTTACAGGCCCTAATGTAGTTCCCCTGGGGGCTAGTGAAAATGGTGCTGTGCCAAAGGAAACTGAGCCCTGCCCATCCCCCTGGGGCCCTGGTGTTCCTTGCTCAAGTTCTGGTACTTGGGAAATGTCACCTTTTGCTCTTATTTGATTAAACTGCAGCAGTGACTTGGCCATGTGTTCTGGTTGGCTGGAAGGGACTCAAGGGAGGTAGTGTTCAGAGGGCCTACCAAACCAGCCAGGCAAGGCTCACAGCATCTTGAGTGTTACTGTACAAGGAGAACAGGACTGTGTAAAACGGCATCTTCTTTATTTTGCATACTTTTAATTTCAGAACAAAATAAAACAAAACAAAAACCACAATACACAATACCCAACCCTGCTATTCTGTGGGAGGGGATTTTCCTGCCTTAAGGCACAAGGACAGGACAAAAGAGATCCTCTAGCATGAGCAGAGAGCCAGGTAGGTCAGGGCTAGTCAAGGCTGCTGGGGGAGCCACAGGGAAACTATACAGAGGACATGGGCTTCCCAGGGGTCTCTAA